TTAAGTGAATCTCAAGAACAAAGATCGAAAAGTAGTTTTATTGCTTAGGGTTTTTGCGATTGCGTCAAAGTTACATAATGAGAGAATTACATTGACTATTTATACTAAATCTACAAACCGCCTAGCCGAGATTCTCTCCCGAGATTCTCGAAACTTTTCCTTTTCTCTTGTGCGGCAGGCGACTTCGGTTTCTCCTAGGATTAGGTCCTCTTGGTCTCGTTTATTGGACCTTCGCGGTTCTCCGGCTCGGCCCATCAATACTCCTTACCCTTTGGCTCGGCCCAATCTCTTCCCCGTTCGGCCCAGCCTGGTTCGACTCAGTTTAATTGCTTCCTTGGTTCGATTCTCCCCACCAAAATCGTAGACTTGAGGTTTCCGAAACCCAATTTCGACACTTAGTCTTTTTTCAAACAGTTAAACTCGTGGGGGTGAAAACCGACCCCACCAGTTTTCCCCCCAGCTTGTCAGTTTTGTATACGATGATGTCGAGGTTAAATTAACGAAGCCGAGGTTAACTGCCGGATCACACGATAAGTCCCCTTGTCGAGGTTTTTGGCTCGGTTAGTTTTGTTGCTGAGCTAAAAGGACACGCTTAAGGAACGTTTGACGGGCCAAGACAAAATTCTGCTTCCGCCTTTACCGAGCCAAGATTAGTCGACTCGATGTAGTGTCGTAAAATGACCGAAGTGAATTCTCGAGCCGAAGCAAAAAGAAAGTTGCCAAGCCGAGGTAGGGAAGAGTGACGGCAAACCAAGACAGCGAAAGGCGATGCCGAGCCGGGGTAGCAAAAAGCGACGCCGAGCCGAGAAGCGAGAGGCGATGCCGAGGCGTAGCGAAGATCGACGTAGCTAAAGTTGCCGAGCTGAATAATCTTGCCGAGGCGAAAAAGGAATTTTCGTCCAAAATTACCAAGCTGGCTTGTCTCGTCGAGGTGAACTACTGTCTTGAAGTTGCGTCTCGTTTGTCGAGACTTTTTTTTTACGAATACGAGAGTTGGCAAATTCTGTCAAAAGAAAGATCTTCCAAAGCAAATTCCGAGCCAATTTTTTTTTTTTTTTGGCTTGGGCCTTAGAGGTTGCATTCTCCTCCCTAAGCCTATTGTATTTTCGCAACTTCCCTAGGCAAAGTGGGACCCACATCCAAATATCTATATATACTCGAGCTCACCTCCTTCATTCTCAAAATTTCACTTCTCCAAAATTTCCAAAATGTATTCTTTCCTCTCTCCCTTTCTCTCCCGATTATTTTTTTTTTGCGCCGCACCACCTAGGTTTTTCTCGAGGTGCGGCAGATTGTTTGATGTTTCCGATCTGCTCAAGAACTTTCCAATCCGCCGTCGAACTTCCCGATCCTCCTCCAATTTACCGAGCCAGAAACTTCCACCGATTCAGCTGATTTCGTAAGCTCCGTTTCGCACCAAGGTCCGTCAAACTTCGCGCCGAGCCCGATTTTCGGCTCTCCTAGAGATTCTGAAGCAAATGATCTCTCTAATGACGTAAAACCCAAACCTGAGGACTTCGATTTCGATCCTGCCGAAGCCAGACGGGAACTTGTTGCTGCAATGGCGAGGCTCGGAATAGGTCCTTTGAAACCTCGGAGCTCTCGGAGAGGCAAAAAAAAAGGAAACCGGATCCTCTTAGCTCGTCCCTTTCGACCGAAGAATCGTTGCAAAGACTGAGGCAACGTTGCAGGATTTCCGAGGCGGTTGAATTCGTTGCGCCCGAGCCTTTCGACCGAGCCGACGATCCACCGCCGAACCACTTCACGGGTTACGAATGTTTTTTTCGAGCTATGCTATTTATAGTTTCCTTTGTCCGAGCCAATTCTACGCTACCTTTGGTTACACGTGATTTCACTTGGACATATCATGTCGTGAGGCCTTCGGCATATGATCAGAATTTTGGGTCGCGGCTACGAATACGGCATCGAAATCGGGATCGACCATCTTCACAACTTTTTACAAATTCGCCGATCCTCCAAACCGGGAAAATATTACATTTCTAATAAGAGAATCTTGAGAATAATCGGGGGTTTTTCGAGCAAGGACGATTCCTGGAATGATTATTTCTTCTACGTTCCCATGGACGAGGCTACCGTTGGGAACACTTTCCTTAATTTAACCAAGACGGATTGGGGACCACTCGGTAGTTCGCTCGTAGTTCTTGGTCAGTATCGCATTTTATTTTTGGTATTAACGTTTGTTTTTTTTTTGTTTTTACGTTTGCAGCTCGCGATCCACTCCCGCCAATTCCCGAGGATATCGCTCAAACCAAGAAATTCTCGAGGCTAGGAAGGTGAATTGGAGAAAGCACTTTTTTGTTTGTGAGAGTCGAGAAAGCGAGAGCTTTATTCGCCGGTGCTCCTGTTAGTTCAGATTTGTCTGCTTCTTCCATTGATACGATCGAGAGAATGGTTCGAATGTCGATTCGCGACAAGAAGGAAAAAGCCGAGAGGGAAAAAGCGAGCTGAGCCCATGAAGCGGAAACGTCGACTGTTCGTACCGAACCAAATTTTCCTGAAGCGCCAGCTGCTGGCGGGCCGAACGGCGAAGCGATTGTTAACACCGAGGAGACTCCCGTAGCTGCGCCGATGTTCTTGTCCCGAAGAAAGTTGCCGAGATCCATTCCGAAGTCTCTGGAAAGGGCGCCACTGCTTCATCCGAGATTCCTACTGCTGGCGGTGAGGATCGTATTATCGTCATGGGTTTGTCGAGCCGATCGAGGACTGCTTCTTCTATCCCGACGAAGCATAAGGGCGGCTCAAACCGGAAGCGTTCCGCTTCGGACGGAGATAACGGAAAGGAGGTTACCGAGCCAAAGATGAGGCGTACCATTCTGCTTGATGCCGAGCCGATTCCTTTTCTGATTGACGACGCTTCTGCTTTGGCGTCGCTTTTGTCAAATATTAACATCAAGGGAATTCGGCAGCCGCCCGCTGATTCGCTTATGAAGGCGAAGTCTTATGCTAGCATGTCCCAAAGGGGAACTAAGGTAAGTTCTCTAAACTTTAGCCGTTCTCTTTTTTGTTCAAGTATCGGCTCGCGTTACACGCTTGTGTTTTTTTTTTCAGTTTTTGGCTTCCATAAATGAGACGATCGCGGGATACGAGCTGGATGCTTGCAAGGATCAGCGACGAATTGACGAGGCGAGGAAAGACGCTGTCATGCTTCAGACAAAGCTTGATGAGGCCGAGCGAAAATTTTCCTCTGCCATTGCCCAGGCTAAAGCTTGGATCAAAGCTCTCGAGACGGAGAAGAAGACGTTGAGGGACGAGTGTGTCAAGGCCACCGATATGGCTGTTTTTCTCGAGGAATCGAGAGCTACGAAGGACGCCGACATTGCTTCTTTGCAGAGGCATCTGGCCGAGAAAGACGCTCTTCACAAGGCCAACGTCAAGAGGGCAGTGAAATCAGCGCGGAGGGACCTGACCGAGAAGGTGTGAGGTCGTTTCAGCAGTGCGGAGAAGAGCCTCAAGGATTTGGCCGAAGCGAAGGAAAGTGAGCTCGATCTTGTGCAGATTGATGGCAACCTTCAGCTTATCGAGCTCCTCAAGAAGGATGATGCTCCAACTCTTGACACCGAAGCGGAGAAGCTGAAGCAGTGGCGAGCCGACCTGGTGGGAGCTGACGAGGGGTTCGAGAGAATCTCTACTTGCCTAAGGGGCGAGCTAACCTTGATTCCTGTTTCCGAGAATTCGGTTGATGCTAACCTTGGGAACGAGTCAGTCAAGGCTGTTGCACAATTGATTGGCGTGTCCGAGCCGACGGGTTCCAACGTCGGAATACCGCGAGTCACCGAGCTTGTCGAGGAGAGGAGGAGTTCTGGAAGGTCTCTGAGAGACTGATTTTTGAGGTGAGGAGGAGTTCGCATATTGTTTTTCCTCTGGTTTTTTTTAGACTTTGTTGCCTGGATGGCTTTATCCGCTTATGCTACTTCTGAACTATGTTCTGTTGGTTTTGTTTCTATTCCCAAGCTGAGGTGCTCGGAATGACTTATGCCTTGACGGCAGATGATATCGGTTGACTTTTAACACTTATTGAATTGCTCGATCCTTTCATTTATTTACGATTTTTCGATCGTATAGTTTCCACTCTCAGAACTTGCAGTATATAAAGAGCGTTGTGAAAACGGCTCTTTATATAGCGCGCTGTTATCCTGTGAAAAATGTAATTGAACCCTAGTCCAAGTGGTTAGAATTCGTTTAGAGAATTTGTTTTAGCTTATTTGTGGCCAGCAACAAGATAGGAAATGCGAATATAAGATATTAAATGTGATACTTATGAAGAAAATGTGTAAGAAAATCAACTTAAGTTGCGAAAGAAATCAGATGAGTAACAAAACGCGTTTTTTTTTAAATAGACAAAAATTCAAAGAAAATCACAAAACGATTCTTGTAAATATAAAGGGAAGTATGACGTATACGTACCCACTCCCCCCCCCCCCCCTTTTTAGGAGGGGGGACAGCTGAACCTATCCGAAGATAGGCTGCCTACGTACCCTTTTCAGGGATCAAGCCGTCTCGTAGTTTAGGGTTGTCGGTTGATGCTGCCTAATGATAATATTTCTTCAGATGCATCGCATTCCAGGATCTCGGGAACGAGGCTCCTTCCATGTTTTCTAGCTCATAGACTCCAGGTCGGACTACCTTGGTGATTTTATAGTCCTTCCCAATTCGCTCCCAGCTTTCCTGCGTTCCTTTCCGCCGTGTTCTGAAAAACTTTCTGCAGTACCAAGTCATCTTCTTTGAACCGTAGACTTCGAAAGTTCTTGTTATAATACCTCGCCGTTGCCTGCTGGTAATTTTGAAGTCTTATTAATGCTTGATCGCGACGTTTGTTCACTAAGTACAGCTTGTCTAACATCATTAGATGATTTAAGCTTTTTTTGTCCGGGGAGAAGTCTTCGGCGAATTCCTGGGAAATCCACTTCGGGCGGAATAACACACTCTGCTCCGTAAACCAGGGCAAAGGGGGTCTCTCCTGTAGCTCGTCTCGGAGTTTTTCAGTGAGACCATAACATTTCCTCTAACTCATCCGCCCAACGTTCTTTTTTAGCATCGAGCTGTTTCTTCAGTCCGTCGAGAATCGTCTTATTAGCTGCTTCAGCATGACCATTTTCTTGTGGGTATCGTGGTGTCGACTTGCTCAATTGTATTTTGCATTTCTCGCAAAAAGCTTCAAACCGAGCCGAGATGAACTGGGATCCGTTGTCTGTAACAATCTTGTAAGGGAGCCCATGTCGACAGATGATATTCTTCCTGACGAAATGCTCGACTTGGGCATCTTTGATGCTCGCATACGAATCGGCTTCGACCCACTTGGAAAAATAATCGGTCAGAACCAATAGGAATCGTTTCTGTTTAGACTTGTGCAAAGGTCTGACGATGTCATAAACGGATAAGGAGCAGAGATTGATGATAAAAGTTTGGTAGGCTGATGGATGGTTGGGGCATGCCTTTGGCATTTTTCACACTTGACGGAGAACTTCTCGCAGTCTTTCACCATGGTCGGCCAGTAGTAACCGTTTCGCTTTATCTTAATTGCTAAAGATCTTCCACATGTGTGGTTGCCGCATGCGCCTTTATGAACTTCTTGCATGATCTTTCTCGCTTCGGCTCCTTCGACACATGTTAGCAATGGTCCCGAAAACTGCTGCTTGAAGATGTTTCCGTCTAGGAGTATATAACGAGCTGATTGAGCTTTGAGTTTCCGAGCTACCCACTTTTCCGATGGTACTTCTCCATCTGCGATGTATGTCGGAATTGCTCCCATCCAGTCTTTGTCGCTTCCGTATTCTGTTGTTTCCTGGGAAGCATCTTCATCCATGTAGGCTACGCCGTTGTCTTCGTTGATCTCTTGCTCTTCTTCGGGAGGATTGATCAGGTTGACTCTGTCTACAACGCTGATGCTGGGTTTCTCTATAAAGTCCACCGGTATAACTCTCTTCAATCCTGGATCCGAGGTCGAGGCAAGGGCAGCTAGCGCATAAGCAGACGCTTTTTCCCCACGAGGTATTCGTCGTAAGCTCGAATTCTTTAAACTGGTTCGTCAACTCTTGAACTACTTTAAGATACGCTTCTATCCTGCTGTCTCTCGCTTCGTATTCTCCGTAGAATTGGTTTGCGACTAGCTGTGAATCGCAGAAGGCGCAGATTTTATGGATTCGGATCCCAAGTGCGAGCCGAAGTCCGGCGATTAATGCCTCGTATTTTGCCTCGTTGTTGGATGCATGAAACGTGAGACAAAATGACTGTTCGATGATCTCGCCAGTTGGTGAAGTTAGTCGTATCCTTACCCCCGGAGCAATGCTTCAATGACGAACAATCAACGGGCAATGTCCATGTGGCCTCGGACGTCGGCTCTTCTACTCCTTAAGTCGGAAGTTCGATCAAGAAATCGGCTAACACTTGAGACTTTACGCACGACCTGTTCCTGTATTCGATGTCGTATTCACTTTGCTCCACCGCCCATTTCGCTAGCCTTTCGGATTGGCTCGGGCTATGCACGATGCTTCGTAGTGGCAGAGTAGCGAGGACTACGATCGAGTGCGACTGAAAGTATGATCTCAGTTTCCGAGCCGACATTACGACAGCTAGGGCGACCTTCTCCATTTGCAGATAACGCATCTCCACCTTGGTTAAACTGCGGCTCACATAGAAGACGGGTTTTTGCTCTCCCCGCTCTTCTCTGACCAGTACTCCACTTACTGCGGTTGATGACACGGCGATATATAGGAACATCGCTTCTCCTTCCACTGGATTCGCAAGGACCGGCGGATTCGCCAAGTAGACTTTCAGATCTTGGAATGCCTTTTCACACCGTTCGTCCCATTCAAATTTCTTATTGCCGCTAAGGGTATCATAGAAAGGTAGACATTTGTCGACCTAGAAACAAAACGGTTGAGAGCTGCTATGCGTCCTGTCAATCTTTGGACTTCTCGTTTTGTTCTTGGAGATGCCATTTCTATCCACGCATTGATTTGCTTTGGATTTGCTTCGATTCCTCGATGAGTTACGAGGTACTCGAGGAACTCACCAGATGTCACCGCGAATCGATACTTCGCCGGATTCAGCTTCATGTTATCCAGGTTCAGCTGCTTGAAACAGTCTTGCAAATGCTTCACGTGATCTTTCTCCTCGAGTGACTTAACCAGCATGTGATCAATATAAACCTCCATCGTCTTGCCGAGTTGTTCCGCAAACATTTTGTTGACGAGCCTCTGGTAAGTCGCGCCCGCATTCTTAAGCCCAAAAGGCATCACCTTGTAGCATTAAATTCTCTGATCTGTTATGAACGCCGTTTTTTCTCTGTCGTCGGGGTTCATGAATATTTGGTTGTACCCTGAAAAAGCGTCCATGAATGTGAGCAGTTTGTTCCCTGCCGTGGCTTTGACTAGTCGATCGATATGAGGTAACGGGAAACTATCTTTTGGGCACGCCTTATTGAGATTGGTAAAATCTACGCACATGCGCCATTTACCAATCTGGGTATTTGGCCTCGGAAATCAAGCCCACCTTTAAGAGTCGCTCTAATTCGTCGTTCACTGCCTTTGCTCAGTCGGGACCTAGCTTTCTCCTCTTTTGCTTCACCGGTTTGAACGTCGGGTCTACGTTGAGCTCGTGGCATGCCACGTCGATGCTAATTCCTGGCATGTCTTCTTGCGGTCCATGCAAATGTTCCAACGTTCTGTTTTAAGAAAACGACGAGCTCCGCCTTAATCGCTTCGTCAAGTGTCTCTCCGATCTCTACGCACCGCTCCGGATGTAGTTCGTCTATGCATACCGAGATCACCGGATCACAGCTCGGCGCGCTCTTCTCCTCACGCGCCTCGCCGATCTGTAATTGCTATAAGAGCTTGGCAAGCTCGTTCGCAGGTTCTCAGTTTGTCTTTAGCTTTTTAATGTTTTCGTCTGCGACCGAGTCCACCATGGGCTTCCTCATCTTATGCTCGGACAAAAAGCACTTACGCGACTCTTTTTGATTTCCCTATATCGTCTTGATTCCGCCAGGAGTCGGGAACTTAACGCGTAAATGATATGTTGATGGAACGGCTCGCAACGAGTTCAACCACGGCGTTCCCATGATAACATTGTAAATTGCCGGATGGTCAGCTATGGAAAACTCCACAACTTTCGTTACTCCTCCTGCTTGCACGGGAAGCCTGATCGTCCTAATTGTCATCGTTGTTTCCCCTGAGAATCCCGTTAATGGCTTCAGGACGGCGGTTACTTCAGACAAATCGATTTCCATCGTTCTAAAGGTTTCGCCGAAGATGACGTCTACAGAGCTTCCCGTATCGATTAATATTCTGGCAACATCGTGATCTCCAATGGTAAGCTCGATTACGAGGGGATCACTATGTGGCGCGTCGATTCGCACTGTTTTGTCTTCCGAAAACAAAATTGTGGTAGCGGGATAGCTCGGGGGCTCCGCCCATTTAACACTTGCATCGACTCTCTACTGGAAAGCTTTAGTCGATGATACGGTATCGAGACAGTAATGTGATCCACCCATTATCATATTGATCCTTCTTCTTGGGCCATCTCGCAGATCCTCATTATCCCTCCTTCCTCGCTTTTGGGCTTCGCCTCGGTTCCCTTGCTCTCGGTTTGGGGGGTTTCTTTTGGCTCTCCTGCTGCTCGCTTTGCGGCGAGTCTGGCTGCCAAGAACCGACAGTTTGCTGTTGAGTGCTCGTAGCACTGGTGGTGTTTGCAGAATGGTTTTTCGTCATAAGTTCAGGGGTTCTGAGTCCAAGTATTCCATGGTCCTTTCCCTCGTCCTGCTCCCACTTGATAATTGTGGGCTCCTTGTAGCCTCGGCCCTTCGTGGTGCACATAGTCATTGCTTCTCACATTTCTTTGACGCGTCGTCAGAGAATTTCAGATTGCCGCTTTTATCAACTCGTACTGCTCATCTAGGTTCTTCATCTCTTCTTCATTCACGACAAAGTCGGCAGAGCGATGTAGGGCATCTTGGATTGTGAGCGGCGTGTTCAACGACATTGCCCTCCGGAACTCGGACTTTTACCATAGTGATCTTTTCAGGGCTTCAAGGGCTGCCTTGTTACTCACTCCTTCCACCTTTGACACCACCGCTTTAAACCGAGTCATGTAAGCTCTCAATGGCTCGTTTGGTCCTTGGGACAAAGTCCATAGATCGGCATCGGAGGTTCCTTGGTCCATGAACATTGAATACTGTTTCAGAAAAACGGCAGACAACTGCTGAAAGTTATTAATTGAGTTACGCTCGAGCCTCGAAAACCACTCCAATGATGCGCCCTTCAGGTGTTCAACAAAGAGGAGGCAGAAACCGGCATCTTTTTCGTCTTTGCTGAGATTGGGGGCATTTCTCGAGAAGGCTTGTCCCATTCCGATTTGAAAAGCTGTGATATGTGCCTTCAGGTCGGTTGTCTCTTCGTAGAATGGAATTCTTATCTTTCCCAATTCGGGGATCCGAGCTTTGGTGATTCGCGCCGTGAATGATGTGCGCTGCGTTTCTTCCAACATTCGATATATCTCCGGGGCCAAACTGATTGCATGATGGACTTGTGATCGGACTGCCACCATTTAGAGCGGCTCGGCGTGCACTGCCGCGTTGATTTCTTTTTCGTGCCGAGCTATCTTGTTTCATCTGTTCGACCCAGAGCAGATTTTCCTCTTCCTCTGTGAGGTTTTGGTTCCGGAACGCAGCGTCATCTTCTTCATTCGTCTTTCCTCTTTCCAACGCCTCTTCGAGTTCAGCTCGGGTAATACGCCTTGAAAAGCGGTTTGGCTGAAGGGCTAGCTCCTCTTCCTGATCGTCTTCATCATCGACAGTAATCGTCTCCTTCCTGATGTTCCCTGCAGCATCATCATCGTTCTGCTGGTTGTGCTTGTCACCGTTCGCTCTTCCTCCCCGAGATAGCAGAGGTGGTTCGGTCAGTGTAGACTTCTTTGCCGCGGTTGTCACCAATCCGGACGGATTTTGCTGCGCTCCTCCAAGCCCGTTTGTGGAAGTTGCAAACTCGAGAGCAGTTGGTCGCAGACCGAACCTTTGCAGAATGTCTCGGGAAGTTCCTGTTACGCCAAGGCGTCGGTTCCTGACTCGGTTCTCCGTTGTCATTGCTTCAAGTCTTTCTGCGAAAGAGTTGTTCTGCTTTTCCTGCATATTAAACTTTTCCATCATTGCCGTGAGCATCTTCTTCACCTCGTCCAAGGGTTCGGCTGTCGCGTCGACATTCATCGGAGGAGGATTCTCCTTGCTTCGGGTAGGATCTCCTCCGTCGTTTTGGTCATCTCTCCGTTCGTCTCCGGACATCTACCGGCTCGGTTCGGTTATATGCCTTCCCTGGTTTGGCTCGATCAGACTGAGAGCCTTTGACTTGGCTCGGTTTAACTGAACCAGCCTTTGGTTTGGCTCGGTTTGAGATCAAGGCTGGTTCGGCTCGGTTTAATTACTTCCTTGGTTCGATTCTCCCCACCAAAATCGTAGACTTGAGCTTTCCGAGACCCAATTTCGACACTTAGTCTTTTTTCAAACAGTTAAACTCGTGGGGGTGAAAACCGACCTCAACAGTCCCTTTGGAGGTGACTGCTCGGAAATGGCTGAGGTAGACATCATCATTGATTTAGAACTAAGAAGAAGAAAAGTAAAAGAAACAAACTTGCAGAAAAACTTCTCTTATTGAAGACAGAATGGCGATGGAGAGCTTCTACACATGCATAAAAATAAAATCTAAAACTACAAATGAGTTCTCTCTCAAAGAGAAGAAAGAGGCTCTATTAAAAAAACCTAAAAAATGAGTATTTATAGTGTTTCTCCAAGTCTTGGGCGTCTAGGGCTTGTAAACTGGGTGCATGAAGCGTCTTGGGCCTTAGTTGGGCTCCTGAGGTTCGGACATAGGTCCACCGGGGGTGAAACCTCCTGAGCCGCGGTGGGAAGAAGGCTGGCCGCGGGTAAAGGCACTTGTGCTTGACTGGACTTGTGTTGATCTGTCTTCAGTGCGTTGATGATATCTTGAGATCTAACCGTTGGCTTGCTTTGATTCCAAGTGTGTTGGAATGCTGGTTGGCTCCTCTATAATGGCTTCAAATTTGGGGATGATCAGACGGTGAGAATGTCTTCATTGGTTGCCAAACTTCTGATGGCCTAATTTATCAAAAGTCCCAAGTTTCCTGAAAAACCTTTTAAAACTCCAAAACATGGAAAACACTTTTAAAACCTTTAAAAATGAGTAAAAACACCTGCATAAGATACTGAAAGTGATCCATAAAAGTGGTCAAAATCAGGTGTTATCAATGAGAATTCACTTTTGCACTTAATGAATGTAGTAGTTGACTTGAATCAAGATTTAAATTGTTTAAGTTTTGCATGACGGAAAAAGTGGACTAGTATCTTTTGTGTCTTGGTGAGAATTTTCTAGAGTAAGTTGTGGAATGATGCACGATCTATGGTCCTAGTTTAGGAGCTCATGTCTCTGAGATTTGTGCATTTCCTATTTTTATATTCATTTAACCAGTTTAAACTTTTGTTTTGTTTGGGGACAAACAAAGGTTTAAGTCTTGGGGAGTTGATAACACCGTACTTCAGACCACTTTTATGGATTGTTTTGAAATATTTTTTCTATGTTTTTTATGGCTTTTAAGTACATTTTAGTTATGTTTTTCTAATATTTGTAGTTCCAAGACTCCTTTCAGGAAATTTATGGAAAAACTTAACAAAATTGATAGAAGACAAGATTTTCAGCTCAGAGTCAAACTGCAGAAGTTCACCCCCGATTGAAGGCCTTTTCACCATCTGATCCAGCTGAAATTTGGAGATCTCAAACATGGAACTATCATCCTTCCAGCACACTTTACAGCTTGGAAATCCAACGGTTCAATCAAAAGTTACGCGAAGAGTAAAATATCTCGTAAACCAGCCGGCAAGCATTTCCACCCACGGCCAACAGCCTTTTCACCATGGTCAGAAGCTACCCGACCGCGGCCAAGCATCCATTCCCCGCGGCCACGCACTTCCCAATCGCGGCCACCGATCTCCGAGTTAGAAGGCCCATTTCTGAAGCCCAAACCATTTTCTCAGTCTCAATTTCAGAACCCTAGACAACATGAAGCATTGGAGACTATAAATACTTATCATTTAGATTGTTTTTAGGAGAGACGAAACACATTAGAAGAAATTTACTTTAAGCTTTTGTTTTTAGGTTTAGGGAGAGAGAGATCTATCTCTTGAACACTTGTTCTTTCTTTTTCAATTTCGATTATTACTCTGCTTTTTAAT